ATCAACAGGTTCTGACATGCTGGTGATGCTGCAGCGATGGCGCCTTAACGTGGCCGTAATCAGTCAGTAAGGGAAGTGATGGGCAGCTGTAGACTTGAACCAAACCACCAGTCTCAGTGGCCTGCTATGGAAAGGTAGACCTGTCCCAGCTCAAGTAATTTCCTGAGATCAACCACCCTTGCCCTTTCTGTAAATCTTACAAACGGTCCGGTAGTTTTTTCTCCCCTTCCGCACCCGCCGTCATATTAAAAACACCGAAAAAATCGGAATTTTCGCTTATACGAGTATCTTCGTTTCGGTCCATTTTAGCTAGAAAATTGTACTGTACTAGTTGTCAGCGAGTATTTTATATCCTGTATTTTTGAAACAGATCGTCGTTTCCTTGGGAGTATCAACAATAAGGATATCTTCACCGAACTTGGCCGGTAGGCGGGGTTTAATTATTGTTCCGAATTGATCTGATATTCACCCTTGCTGCGATTTTTCAATTCATCGAGTGAAAATTCTTCAGTATTCTCAAGGAATGAATAAATATCTTCCATCGCCGTCTCCACTGTGGGTTTCTTGAACTCTGAAGAAATGTGAAATAACTTCCTCTGACAAAAGTGATGAATCAGCTGCGACGAGGTCCAGGTGAGGTGGAATCTGTTCCAAAATGTTCGCTACCCTCACGTTTCTGGGCAGCATTTAAAAACGTCTCCCTTACCGAGTGCCTTAACTGAAATTAGTGAATTTGTTAGATACAACGTGCATCCACAATTGGCAAGAAAACAACATACCATTGTTTTCACTGTTATGTTTACCCTCACTCCATTTTCCGGAAAATACGATTTTTTAAAAAATTCTCTTAAACGCATCTCCATAACTATAAGGTCCAGAAATAAAATATAAAAACGTGTATGTAGGAAATTTAAGTCTCTACAACATTGAGTAGAACTCTTTTGTAACGAAAATCTGAAGGAGGTACCGATCTTTTTTTCTATGCAGTGGCGGGTGCGGGGGGGGGTTGTGCATTTTGCATTTTAAACACCATCCCAGACAACATATCAAAAACTACCGTGACGACATTGACAACTTTTGATTCCAGAATTAACGGTTAAAAGATCGACTCACCATTCGCCTGGTACAGGAGTAGAGTTTCGAGAAATCGGACTCGACCATGACTCGTTAAAGGTGATAAAGGAAACTTTATCGACACGAATGCTCAGAGTAGTGGGAGCTCCAAGGACAAGCCACCCCTGCCCACTAGCTTGGTGTCGGACTGCGAATCTCTTTGATTTGTAGAAATAAAAGAATTATATTTGTGCTATTATTTTCTTAATCCATAAGTTTTACACCTACATGAGAAAACTGAGAAGAGTTGTGCACGTAGTTTCTTATGCAACTGTGCAAACAAACTACCAGACCGTTTGTAACGTAACCCCTCTCTATTCATTGGATTATATTGTAGCTGACAACATTGGATTCATTTATAGGAGTATTGTCATTTTAACTGACAATACAATTTCAAAAACCAAAACTTCCTTCTAAATGAGTTCAAACATAATTGTTTTGTACGATACAATTTTGCTCCATTCAACGAATTTACAAAGATCGATTCCTCTAACAATTTTTTGATTACTTTCAATAAAATTTAATGCAATTTCTTAAAGAGAACCGATAGATACTTTTACACAAATAAAAAAATTACAATACCTTAATTAAAGCGTTTTCTGGAATGGATGGTTTCCCTATGGTACGAATCAGTACCTTAAAACTAGACAATATAGCACGAAACCTGGGATCCCGGACCTGAATACTACTGCAATTTTTTGGATTTTCTCTGCAATTAAAAGATCAATGAACAGTCTATTTTTATCGTCTGCTTTCAATGAACTTTTCACTTTCGCAATGTAATTTATTAACAACGCACTGCAATGCCACACAGAAACTGATTTAATTTGTTTCTTGAAACTTTCGCTTTCGAAGTGTAATTTTTCAATGACTGAAACTGTCACTGTACACTTCTGATTTATTCGCCGGAAAAGTGCGCTCGTACTTTTATGATTTTACCATAGTTTTACATACTATATCTATCGTACGCTGGTTTGGCCGAAGAGTTTACTTTTACTGAATTTTCACGATAATCCTGGGTTTATGGAACCTGCGGTTAATGTACTCCTGCGTTAAATTTACTTTCGTAATGTTTATTTACTGACCAAAACTTCAGTACACGTTATTATTAAGGTTCTATCTCGTAATTTTAATTAAAATGTGTCCCGCCCGACACTGATTATTAGCGCAGTTTTTACAATTCGGTTATTTACAGCATTTCGATTTTTGACTGACGGACGTTTTGGAGTTTAAATTACGGGTTCTTTGACTTGAGCTCCATCGACGCTCAAACGCGAACTGAATGGAACTGGTTCTCTTGCTGACGGTTTTCCGTTTAGTGTCCGAAATACAAACCTTTTTTACTTCAACTCTACTTTTTCAATTTAAAAAAAAAACTGCCTACAAAATGGAGCTAATAGGTTAAAGTAGCCATCCTTAATCGTTAACATATAGACTGCGCCTACTTCATCCAATTACGCGCATATGAAAACCATCAATCAAAACCCACCAGATTTCAAGATCCAAATAATACAAAATTCCTCCTAAATGAATTCAACCATAATTATTTTATACAATTCGATTCGGCTTCATTTACCAATTTACAATGATTGGTTCCTTTAATAATTCTTGCGATTTTTTACACTTAATATTCAAGCAATTCCTTAAAGAGAATCGATAGTTATTTCGAATACCAATCAAAAATCATTTTGTTACCTTAATTATAACGTTTTCTGGAATCGACGATGTCCCTATGGTGCATATTATAAGTATCGTCTTTGTCGAAGATGGTTCCCTAAAACTGGATAATACAGACCGAAACATGGACCTCCGGAAGGAATACTGCTGAACTTTGTGGATATTTTGTACGATTACCTGTTCTTGTGCAATTGATGGGCAATGAACCGTATATTACTATCGTCTGCTTTTAATCAGGTTTAAATTATACCGCAGTATGTTATTATAAGCGCACTACAAGGCGAAATAAGTTGAATGTCGCCCAACAAAACGGATCTAGACGGAGAAATTTGCTCGTACTCTTTTAGCGCATTTTTGATTCTCAAAAAGGAGGATTGGGGCTCATGTCAATCAACCTTGCGACTTGCGAGGCAGCTCGGGCGATCTTCTCAATCTCCGGGCGTTCCACTGTTGGTCGTGGTACGCATCTAGTACTCCCTTATGTGTTTCTTTGAATACCATCAGCCTGTGTCCGTTTGATCCGTTTAAATGCAGATGACCATCCCACACGCCGTACTCCCCTAAGAATTTTCCCTGGGGATCGTCTAGAGATCCTCTTTATTGGTATTTGTCATTTGTTTCTTCTTCACTCATCCCGCTAATCTTGCTACCTCTACGACGCTTTGGCCGGTACGGTGGGGTCCGATTTCGAGATCGGAGACTTTTATCGAAATTTCGCGAGGGTTCCTTGATAGGTGGTTCCCTAGTTAATTATTCTCCCCGACGCAATTCCCCACGTTGAAGATGAATTCCTGTAGGGGGGTCTTTTGTTCTGTTTAGCCAGAGATGTGTTTGGGTCTCCGTCCTCAGTATAAATGAGCGGTATTCGTTGTAGCCTTGTATGGCCCAGATCACTACAAAACGGTCAATCTCATTCACGCGGTATCGGCTTTGTGTTAGACTCACTTTGTCAGCACCGCAGCGACACCTTTGCTACTGACGTATGTGTGCAGACCGGTTAAAGTTGTGGCGATGTGACTCAAGGGGGCGTTGCCCGCATTACGGTAACTATCATGGTACAATAAGACAAGGTATGCCTATACGTGACGTCATTGGGATAACTTGGCTCTACCGTTCAATAAAGTAATGGGATTTGTGTAGTCCTACCAGTTAATAAAAGTGTATCCCCTTTTCGGATGTGATAAGATTTGTTCAATCCATGTCAACTGCGTCAAGTTTCTCACATTAAACTTACAATGTTTCAATTATTGCATGTTATACAAATATTTAAAGGTACAATAAAATATGTAAGTAAAAAAAGTAAAAATTATATTAGCGTTTTCAAATAAGGATGAGACCTCTAGCGGCAATAAAAAAACTTAAAAGGCTGATTAAATTTCTGAAATAAGTATATTAAGTGGTACGTTATTGGTTGATTGGTAGCTTTTGCTATGGTTATAATGTTATCCTCACAATTGATTTCAGCAAGGCGATATGGTCCCCTTAGCTGTCAGGTTTTTTTCTACACATAGTGTTATGTACTTGGTGAAAACTGGGATCTTCCAACTACCAATAGAAATAACTTACAGGTCTTTGCATCTAAGTGTATCATCTCTCAACCAGATCGATGGTGCGATGGCCCAATTATTTTAGTGACGCCATCTCTAGACGAGGTTTTTCCAGGAATAACCTAAATTGGGTGCTAGTAGAGCCGTTCTATGATAAGCTAGAAGTACTCCATTTTTTGTGCCTGAAATGACAGTCATCACAAAGCTGTTTCAGCTACAGACTGCCATTTATGCATAGTGCACAGTCACCACCATTGGTTATACCCTTTTGCCAACGCTGAACAAGAGCCTACCTGCCGCACCGGTAAAAATCAGAACCGGCCGAGGCTAACCACTTCCTTACAGCAGTGACAACATCCAGGTCTTAAAAATGTTTGCCGCGTAGTTCATCTTTCAAAAGTCCAAAGAGATCGAAGTCCGAAAGCGCTAAATTCAAGATCAAAATGACATTAGGTTAAATCATATAATTTTCTGACAAATGAACTTCCCCATTCGTTTAAATACGTCTTTATAGTGAAAGTAGCAAGCAATTTTTCATGTTTAATAAATAAAACGTTACATTTGAGTTGCTACGTTGCTAATAGCATTTGATCAAATATGATTATTTAATGACTAATTAAAGAGAGTGTATAACGCTATCATTAATTTGATTTTCTTTTCCAGGTGGTCGTACACTACTTTGAGCCATCCGTACTTCAATGCCTACTAGAACGGTGGGCCCGCGAGCTTGGATTTATCATATGCTACGGTGCCATTATTTTAAAACTCTACCGTCACCTGATCGAGTTCCGCACGAGAAAAGCACACCGATGGGTAATCAAAGACACGGATCTGCTAAAATACCTTCTCATTATGTTTATGTCGGTATTCGCGTATATGGCGGCATACACTGCAATTAGTGTTAACTTTGTGCAAGAAAACTACAGTTTACTTTCAAAGGGCGAAACATTAGAAGGAGTTCATTATGAAGCTTGTAAGCCTTTGTGGTGGGATTACGTAACGCAGGTTGGCGAACTTGCTATACTCATTTTTGGGATTCATCTGAGCTACGCCAGCAGGAACGCTAGGACCCAATTTCACGTAAGCATTTTGTCGATAACGTTGTGTAATTACTAGACGCTGTAAGCAAAAGCTCATCAAAGATCAAAGTATTTTCTGCCCTTTCACAAGTGTTCCAGTTGCCATATAAAGCTCTACGGTTCCCTCTACTGAGACTTTGTTAACTGTTCTTGGAATCGAAGACGCAAAATCGATACGACACAAAATTATGTAAATACATAATACAGTGGGTACTTTATTGGTATAGGACGCAAACTTCTAAATCCCTAGTTTGGTTGACTTAATTCCGCTAGACAAACAGGGATTTAGTTTGGTGCATGTTAACGTGCGTATTATGTGCCAATTTCCGGCATTTATACGGCAGACTGTGTTGGCTGATGGACCGACCAGCCCACGTTAATTTTAAGTGTCTGCTTCTGACATGAAATCAATTGTAAATAACAATCCAGTTCAGTTCGTCCGGAAGGCGCTAATTGGATGAGATCTTGAATCAACAACGCAATTTCTACGCAAAATAAGTAGGAGGATTTGTACCAACAATTTCCTTAGGGCCGATTGTACCGCAAGAGGTTCATAACACAATTAAGAATTCCATTGGGCAATTTTTCAATTTTAAATTTCAATTCCTTCATTTTGTCAATCAACTGAACTGAAGTTCCTACTTCGGGTACAACTGGTCCTTAATGTCCTTTATAGATATTAATAAGCGTTATCGTGTAGTTTCTTAATTTTTCTTAGCAAACAACATTGTGACTGACAAAAATGAGAAAACATGAATCATCAATTCACTATGCGCGGTAAACTTCGTAATTGGTTAATCCCACCGTCCCGGTAGTTATAATGTAAAGGAAAGTCGTGTGCAAAATTCTTTTAGGTATTGAGATAATCTTTCATTCTCCTTTTCTTTTAACTTTTTTTCTTCTATATTTTTTACATCCACAGTTTGCGTTAATAAAGATGTGTTCATTCCGTATTTGACGAACTCTGGTCATCTTTTTTATAGTCAATTTAGAGTGGACTTCCCCCTTGTGGGTTATAAAAAAAAGTTGTTTTCTTTATTTTACTGTATGATTATTGCTTTTTGTTCAGTTTGATTTGAAAAATGCCCAAATAAAGCTATTATTATTGTTTAAATTGTAATAATCTTAAGTATCAGTAACACCCAGCTATTCAATTTTCCCACAAAATAAAGTCACCCGGCGCTATAAACGTCTACGGGTTCTTCTTAATCGACCGCTCGAGAGTCTACGTGCTAATACTTTACCAGAACAACCATATCCAGACTCCTTCACGTTTCTATATATTCAAAAACTACAATGTCAAAATCAGACCCAATTCCAATTAATTCAGACTTACATCCCCATTAATAAATCAGTTTCGGATTGCGATATATGTAAAACAAAGATAGGTAATTAAATTAAAGCATATGGCACATACACAGAAACCTGTTTACAAAGAGGAATTTACATGAACATAACTAAACCTCAAGAAGATTACGTCCCCACCTCGTGTGGGACGTTGATTTCCGTAATTGGTGGCAGAAAACGAGTCAACGAGTAAAGATGGTCATGATTCATTGATAAGAAGCAATGGGTTAATTAGAACGGATAGTAGGGATCATTGCGGGGAGGATGCATTCGGTCTTAGAGAGAACGATATAGTTCGTACGCCGTACCTCGAGGACTAAACGCAAGATTATTTCGAATTTTGGGATACCAGAGCAAGCAGTGCGTAATAAGAAAAAAAAGTAAACCCATTTTCAAAAAAACCCAGTGAAGGCCAAACTAATTAAACGCACCAGTATCTTTTCGTTACCATAAACAGCTATTGTTAAAAATGCAGTGTAGTTGTTTGCACCCTGGGAAACCAAAGAGGGGATTGAACTTTGTCTTAGTAGTTGTAAAATTATTACGGCCCCGTAGTACAAAAAACTGCAAGAAAAATCATAGTGCAAAATATTGACGGAGATTTATCCTACTTTTACTTTATCCTACGCGTTTCATTTTTCGTGGCTTGCCCGTAACCCTTATTATACACAAGGATTTGCTATATGGAGGGTGGTCTTCAGTCTAATTTTGTATCAACATTGTCCTCCGCAAAAGGGCCGTCTTATATGAGGTCCCGTTATTGCATTTATTATCTAAAATTAAAGGTTTGAATCTTTAAGATCGTTGTAAATTTTATTTTGTACGAAAAAACTTAGTAACTATTTTGCACCTTAGACCCCAACGCTTCCGTGGTTTTTATTTATTTAAATGATATTGTTTTCTCTGTACTTTCAACTAACCATAAGTCCTCTGTCCATTAGTGTGCACTGCACGAACAATTTTCTTGTTGCTGAAGCGTTTTCCACAAAGAAATTTGCGGGAGAATCCCCGAATTTTTGCACAATTTTAATTAAAAGTTCATTTCACTTCGTCACAACCTGATGTTATTTTACTTAGAATTCTTTAAGTTGGTGAAACTGAAAAAGGGATCGTTTCAGAAGCGGAGCTGTAAAAGGTTATGTTAACCTTTTCCTCTACTAAATTGAAATCTCCTGGTATTAACGTGTAGGTATATTAACAGTTCTTGTAATAAAAGTAGTATAATAGATCTAATATACAATACAAATTTAGGTTTAGTTAGGCTTACACACAAAATAAACGACACTTCCATGACACATGCGGATGCACTTTAATAAAACCACTCTTGGAAGCGCATACAGTGTAAACTTGAACGACTTAGGAAAGGATAATGTCGTAGGGAGGGTTAAATTTTGCATTTGGTAAGGATCCCGCATCGCCCATAACCCACCGATTCTTTAGAATCGACCGCTCATTAACGTCGCCTTTTTCGTATCAGCCGGTGACGGGCACCGACCGCCTTATCACTAGAAAGGAGAAGGGACATCTTGCGCATCTTCCATTGATCGCCTCTTTATTGGCGACCGCCGATTAACTTCGAACGCCTTTTTTTAATCAGCCAGTGACTAGCCTGGACCGCCTTATCACTCGAAAGGGAAAATAACATTTTTTGCATCTTCCATAGGCCGCCTCTTTGTTAGCGACCGCCGATTAACAATCTTGCCATACACTATCGATTCGTCGTTTCAATCCGTCTGAAACGAAGGATTCGACAGATCAAACGTACCGCATATGGAGCCCTTTACAGGATTAAAGGTGTAATCAGGTTGCAGTAGAAAATCTTTAGAAGTATGTATACTTTGTTAGTATTTCAAGTTCGAAAATTGCTACCTACTCATCTGTTTATAATGTACATATATAAATTATGTAAAACATGTGCCATTCTGTTGACGGCAATAAGGCAATGAAGTTTATACTTTATTCGTCTTAACCTTTCCAAATATTTATTTAAACTTTATTTAATATTACAGACATTACAATAAGCTAACTACAACCTTAATAAATTAATATTTCAACACCTAATGAATAAGGATGATGATATTAATAATCGTACCTTCCTATTCGACGTCAACTTTTGAACCACACAGCGCACTTGCACAATTAATTTGAAACCTAATTGGACGAAAACCCAAGAAGTTTGTGAAATAATGGCAGAAATATCGCCGCAAGTCGTAATTCATTCCCGTTTTTTAGCACCGGGAAAACACGGCAATATGGAAACCATTATTTACTTAGTAACTGCTAACTGCCTAGCACTTCTCTAGGCAAAAAAACTTTGCAATTTTTCCAACGTCGTAAAAGTTTCCTAATTCTTGCGGAAAGAAAACCAATAAATCAGTTTTATCTGACAAAAGAGTGTTTCGCCTAAATGGTAGGTACCTACGAGACAGATTGTATTCAATAAAGCGCTTGTTGCTCGAGGTTGGAGTACCAAACTAACGTTCCTTCACTAACACACGATATTTTAGTCAACTATACGGGGAGATACGAAAAAGGATTTTCAGAATATTAGGCTCGCGTTTGATTTATTGGTTAATTTGTTACAGATGTTTTCTGTCTGGTTTCACAATATACATATACGCATATCTTGCTGTTGAACATTATAATTATTGACTTAGGACTTAGGAATGTTCCATTTATTTGATGGTATCGACACCTGTAGACCAGATTTTTATCACCATACCAGTCAGTGGTCATTTCGTTGTCGAACTTAAGTAAAAAGCAAGGTCAACACGTGAGCAGGATAACCAGTAGATCAGAATTTGGGGTTATTAGTTCAACTGGAATTAAAATACCGAAGATAGTAATTAATTCTATAATTGCTTCTCTGTCGATATATGGTCGATTTTGAACACAGACCGAGTGTTTAAGTAACGTTTTCTTTTTACTATTAATTTAACCACAAAATTCCGATCCGTCAATACCCTTAAAGGAATCGGTCTGTATTTGAATACTAATACACAAAGAAACTTTACCTTAGTTATACAGCGACTAAATCTACCCTTTGTGTCGTCCTACCTTGAAATACTGGATCATCTCCGACTAGGTCTCATGAAATGGAAGAGAATACTGGGCGCTTCTAATTCGGGATCGTAACGGGAAGGGTTCACTGATTTCGAAATTCCAAATATTCTCCATTTTACGTAATCCAATTTTATTTAAAAAAAAGTCCCATCTGCATACAAATTTTCCTATAGCCGATGGGTAACACTGACGTTAATTAGTTGGACTGGTCCATTTACCGTCGGAAAGCTAAATCGGTTGAGTCTGACTTCCGCTAATGTTCGTGTTAGTCTTGAAGGGAGTGGCTACACGCGGAATCTCTCCCAATGTTTTCTACGGCTGGTTCGACCGGAATTCGCGTAATACGTACTAAAACCACACTGGAGCTTCGACACAAACTTTTTTATAACTCGGCGCGTATGCTGGGCTTCTTGACACTTATTCGCCCAGGACTAAATTAACTTATTTCCACCGCGCTTTCAATACTCGCCCGATCTAATCCGTAATTAACTTTTCCTTGTCATGCCTCCAAACTTAACTCCTTTGTGACTTAACGCTGAATCCTTTTCCCGTGGTTTCACTCATCTCTGTTGGCGTAATCCCCACTTTTTACACCTTTAAAATGGTTGCACATCGGTTCCAACGGCCATCTTTATCCGTTTTGCCAATAGCATTTATCTCCTTCCACCATTTTTAGAAAAGCAGTTGCCACCTCTGTTATCAAAACCTTTGACTCCGCGGTTCACATGCCTTGAATACCAGCGGATCTGAATCAGCCGTTTGGTCACGTACAACCCACTAAGTTTGTCTTTATGACGCAACAGACTCGTACTATCGACTTTTCTCATCTGATTAATTATCTATTAAGGGTAGTTCAAGTTCGTGGCTCACCATTGGGATCTCCGTCACGGTGAGAGAACCGTGTAGTTTAAATGGAGGCATCCTTTACGTGACCAAGAAGACGCATTTGAAATTTTTGACAAATCTTTGAAAATAACTGAGATATCACCGGAAAACTGAACCCAAATTTCGTTTCATTTTCACTAGTTTAAACGACTGCAAATGGACGGTTCCCGTTGGCACCTTCGATGGGTCCTTTTTTTCGCAATATCTGAATCTATCAGAATTTCCATAACATGCTCTGATGTAGAAGCTACAGGCTATAACCTATTTTCTTATTTGTTATGGGCGCTATGTTGGATTTTTAAAATTTGGGCAGGCCCACGATACTGATATAAACCTACTTTATATTTACAGCTCACATCCGAAAAAATAGTGACGTAGTAGTCTCTCCGGCACAATTAAATGGTTTTAGTTTATCAATTAAACTTAATTTCACAACAGTGAATCGCGACGGCAGAAAGTTAGAGAATCAAAGAAATTAATTTACAGTTTTAGAAATCTCCACGATTTTATCTGGTAGTCAATTGATCTTGACCGTTGGCATTTAGTAATATAGCTCAAATTTGCTCCGGTTTCCTCGCCCACAAGGTCGGCATAATGTTGACGGTCGTTTCTCCATCAGTGGTCCCTTATATGATTAAAATTGGATTTTGGTAAGAATTTTATTCTGTAATTTACTTATTTATTATTTTTTTTAATTTATTTATTGTCCCTCTTATTCTGGGCCCTCAACAGGCGTTCGCCTAATTACAGAGTGACCCCCATAATGCTTTTTAAAAGTGCCCCTGCAGAAGCTCTTAAGTTGTTCTATACTACTCCGGCATTTACCTTACGAATTAGGAAAACTGCAAACCTAATTCGGAATAGTCGGTAGAATGCTTGAAACTGATCTAACAAAATTCCCATCTCTGCTAAAGGTGAAAAATTCTTACCTCAGCCCAGGATCGAACACCCAACCTCCGGCTATGTAGCCCAACCCTCTACAACCTACTACCATGACAGTTCCACTGTCAAAAAGTTCCGTAATCCAACAATAATGTATACTGACATGCTCTGTTGTCACTTTTCTGAGGAGTTAAGATCGAGTCACGCTTAAGCCGGTTAACCAATCATATTTTGTTTGGTTAAAAAAAATCCCAATGTAAGTTTTCTGTGTATTTTTTATCTAGGTGACACGAGGTGTTCTTCGGCCAACACAAGTTCCTCAGTTGTCTGAGCAATTAGTGCAAATAACAAGTGTGGCATTTGGTTTACTGCATATAAAACAAAACTTTATTTTAATTCTGGTACGAAAAGTTCTGAAAGTGTGATTGGGTAGATTATATTTCCGCAGGAGTTTGTTGCAATGGGTTTTGCGTACCAATCGTTGCTAAATTTTTTTATTGCTTCCCTGCTCGCTACATTCTCTTAGTTCAGTCTCAACACAGCATCATTTTTAAAATGCACACTCATACACTGGACAGCGTATGAGGGGCCTGGATTTTCGAACAGTCGGCGTTGTGGTCACGTTCGGCTTAGTGGTCCCTTGTTCACGGGTTACGTATACGTAATACATAAAGGTCAAAGCTTACCGGCCCTTCATAGGACTTACGAAGAACCACAGGTTAGATTAATATTTCTCTGCTTAAGAAATTTCAATGAATAATGATGAGAGAGGTGCTCAAAATGAATAAACTTTGAAATTTATACTTTTTATGATAAAGTTAGACTTTTAAGTGGAAATTTCCTTAGCGTAGGCTTGCAAGCATAAATTTGAAAAATTAGTAATTAAAAGGGGACTAAACTTGCAAGTCTAAGATAAAAAACTACCGTCGCCTTCCTAATAGAAAAGCTTATGAAAATGTAAAGCCAAATTTTCAACAATGAACACGCAAAAAGTTCAACGATTTATTACATTAGGAAGCCAGCTTCATTTATTTACACATAAAAGCTTTCACATCCTTATTACATTCATTTCATCTTTATCAAAAGGGACGTGCGGAAATACAAAATTAAGGGTTTATTTACAAGCATTGGTTCTGTCCGAAATAATTAAAAAGAGGCCACCGCCTAAAAAGGGTGCGCGTCATTCTCACCTCCTATTTAACAGGTAGAAGCTTCCCGAGGGTGCGTGTATGTGATTCGAAGTAATTAATGTTGAAGTAGCAATTAACACTTGAAAGATCCCAAGCGATCTTTAAATTGAGTTAGGTACGAATTTTATTTACGTAACACTTTTCAACTGTATCACTTTTCTTGGAAACAGAATTTCCTTTACATTTAATTAAGGTTTAATAGCAACGAGTTTACCAATTACTCCATTGTAACAGTTGTCTTTTTGTTTCAGGAAAGAAGATATTTGTGCGCGGCAATTAGCATAGAACTCGCGGTTAGTGGATTGTTTTATATGGCTAGAATTTTTATACTTCCGGATTTACATCCTAACTTTGTACTTATCGCACATTTTATAAGGACACAATTTACGGCTACAATAACGTTATTGCTAGTGTTTGTGCCCAAGTTTTGGTATCAACAGAAGCAGGTGCGCTCGCTGGCCCAGGAATATTCGTGTAGGATCCCAGTCGACGCCTTCAAGGTAATAATAATAATGTCGTATTGTTTATTCGAGTTTCTTCTGTGCTCGTGATATTCCCTACACAATTTTCAACTAAAACTACGTCAATTTGTGCACTGGGTTTCAGTATAAGATAAGTTTAGTTGAAAATTATTCAATTTCAGAACGGATTCGGGTTAAACCTTTACATTAATGAATTTAGGGTTGTTAGCGGATCTTCTAAAAGTGTAATGAATCCAAGGTAAAATAATTAAACTCGGATAGAGTTACATCTCTTACACGGCCAACCAAGAAACTATTTTAGATGAATATTATGCAATTTCAAAACGGTTTCGGGTTAACCTTTTAGATTATCACATTTGAGATTAGGATTCCACTTCAAATATTCGAATCTCCGAACACTGTACCCCTAGTCATTAAAAACGAAATAATAAATGGAATAGTGTAAAATTCAATCAATTTAATTTAGGGTTACTAAAAAAAAGTAATCCATCGAAAAATAAATATAAACCCCAAAGTCCCCCTTGGAGGGTATAAGTGGAAATCCAGAAGCCATTGTAGTTAAAAATGTTATCAGAGCTTCTGGTAAAACTTATATTATTTAATTTAGGGGTGGTGGTGACTCTTCTAGAATATTATTATTATTATTATAAACCATTTTAGCCTTGAAATATTATGCAATTTCAAAACGGATTCAGGTTATACTAACGGGCGATCAAAAATTAGTGGCGGTCGAGTCGCCTTTTTGAAGTTCAAGTTAAGTGCGGTTTTCCATGTAAGAAAAATTCAAAAAGGTGACTCGACACCAACTCATTTTTTATCGCATAGTATTATATCAACGAATTTAGGTTTGCTAGTGTATTCTCTAGAACATCCTCCTCTAGCTACGTGACATTTTATGATAATTTCTTCTTCTATAGGTGCACTTCATGCGTCTATGTAGAAACAGCTCATGACGAATATAGGTGACCTTTTTTACTTATCATCACTAGCAATCCCGGCGAACTTCGTATCGCCTTTGGGAAATCCCATTTTTTTCACGTAAGTATCCCGTTCCCGTGGGAATGGTGAGAGTGTTTTACTAACTCGATATACGTCCATCCATTCCCCAATGTTTCATCAAAATCGAATGATCGCTTTAAATAGACATAAGAGATGGACATATAGACAAACATTCATTTTTATTTATATAGATAATAGCAGATCCAACTAACGTTGTATCGCCTATCCCGACGAACCTCGTATATATGGCTACATTGACATTCCCTAACACTTCCATATAATACTATTACTGTGTGCACATTTTAAATATTTGAAAGTATTGTGAGTTAGGTACTTAACTCTGCTTTGTGCTGGTATCAGCATTGAGAAGGCAGCGAGTTTTGCGCAGAGACTAATTTAGAGCCTGCAGGAGGAGCCTTAATAGAATAAGAATATTGGGGACGCGTGACCTTTCGTCTTGTATAGGTGTTTATAATCACACTGTGCACATTTTAAATCCTTTGAAGACGTGTGACAGACGTCGTTCCAGAATATGTTGAAGATTTTTTGAAAATTACACTTTAAATATTTTTAAGTATTCTGTATTTTTAAGCGGCACATTGTGCATACTTTAAATATTTAGAAGTATTGCGAGTGTCTACTTAAATTTGATTTCTCTCTCGCATATTCGTACTGTGCAGATTTTAAATCCTTTGAAAACACTTATGTTAAGAGATATCGTTTCAGAACATGAAAATTTGTTCCAAATTGCATTGTGTACACTTTAAAATATTTGGAAGTATTGCGTATTTTTAAGCGGCAAGCGTTTATTGGTCACGCCGCATTATTACACACTAAGTAATTTACTGTTAATTGAAATCGCAAATCACCTATACTTCTCACCTTTTAATTTGATAGTTTGAAATTTGACGGTTTGTAGAATTGAAGACATTTAATTTCAATTTTCTTTATATTTTTACATGTTTTCGATATTTTAATAGTTATTCTGCTATTGGGGTTGTTATTGTGGTGCAACATACACGACTTTGATTTATATTGCTGTGTAAACAATGTCATTCGGGCCGTTGTTGGTTGGATTAAGACATTTGGAATGGATTCGAATGTTTAATTGTTTATTTAATGTTCATCAAAACTTTATCTTTCTCTCTTTAATGTCGTGGGTTTAATTACGCATTAACACAAAACAATTTTCCAAAATCAAGCGTGCACTCAAGGTTGTATTTGTTTATTTTCTGTGTAAGTGATAAGGGTTTCAGGGAATTGTTAGATAAAGAAATTATTTGTACCTCCAATTTATATTTGCTATCAAGTGGTCATTAAGACGTATGTGACAGCTTTGACCGGATTTATTAAGCTTTTCTTTTATTTGTGAGAGATAAAGGTAGTTTGGAGACAACGTGACTATCACTAGAAAATTGTATTTTGAGGTAGAAATGTTAAATTAGATTAGCAAAATTGTACTTCCAATTAGGTCTTCGTGTCGTGTCGTTCGTGTATGGGCTGTTGTTCTAGTGTTTCTAGGCAATTTGCATTGGTTGATAACATACGAGCGACGTGGAAGGGAAGACGCTTTTTGCCAGTTTCGAGACCGGGGTACCATTCGTTTGGACGCGTCGCGTTGCCAGGAAAACAAGTGAAACTTTAGTTCCTTAAATGAACGACAAAACACTTTGATTTAGTCGTGCATTTTAATAACCAAAAATAAAAAATATCATTCCGATAGGAAAATTTCGGGAAAATCGCCAAAAACTGAAAAAACACCTTTCGTTGTTTCCCTTTTCCGATGCAGTAACTCATAGCATATAGGTACACGTCAAAGCGCATACAAAGTTTCAAATATAAAAAAGAATGTTATGCAATAATGTCATTTATTCTGTGTCAAAGATAGATCTTTTAGGAATATATTTGTTTGCGACGTAACGACGTTAACGACAATTTATCCCATTTGCCAATAACAACCGTAATAAACTCTAACTTCTGTATTGGCGAACCTAATGAACAACGTAAATTCGATGAAAATTTGTGATCTCCATCTAACGAACTCATTCCAATTTGTTTTTCTTGAACAAAAGTGGTCGTAAACAGTAGCTAAATTTAGTGTAGCTGTAGTGTACGAGTGTGCCTGTATGTCTGCTTCCAATCAAATGAATAATGTTGATTAGTACAGAATTCTATAAGTAGATTATGAAGTTGTAATTGTGCTTATTAACATAATTATATGATAGCAGAAAAACAATTCGATAATTTCATGTTAGAAATGTATACCTACATAGATTCTTATTTGTCGATTTGCAACTGACAGATAATTTCTCTATTTTCTAATGCGCTACTACACACCTTAAAAAATGGTTTCGGCTCGTATCAGAATTCTACAAATATATTACAATATCACATAAATAAACGAAGGTTAGAATTAGAAGTTCAAACTATGTGTTGGTACAGTTTACCAAGCGCAGCTAGTCCTGAGTGGGAGTGCGCTTATGGCATTATTGACGGTTCATGTGTTTAACGCTATATATTGGCACGGTTTGGTAGCATTTGCGTGAAATCGATATCCTTTAATTTAATGCATTTCCAATTAAAGTTTACTACGTTCACGATTCGTTAAATAATTCGAATAATTCCCGTAACTAATAATTAAATTCGAGACCATTGATGTTACGGGTAAGTAGGTAATAAATTCCGCGATATGAGCTTGTATTACACAAAATATGTTGAACACGGCAAGGAAAAGTGGTATTATAATAGTTTGGTTCGCTGCCAAGTATGGAAATTCGCCTCTACAATCAACAAATCATTTACGCTATGTTTAGATCGTAGACATTTCAAAGGCAATCGAAACCACTGCAGCGATATCTATCGTAGATTCAGTGCAAAATAAATAACACTCCAAATGTCATCAAATCTAGTAACAAATACTGAATACCGAACGATCCTCGAGATCTTCACTTCATTTTTACAACACACCTTAAGGGGGTTGATTCGACCTCACCAGATCAGCATAGCTTGTAAAACAAATAGTTAATCTGCATTAGTTTCACGTTCATTCGAGGTGTCTACATAAAGAATTTCATTTAAATATCTTCACAAATAAAAAAAAGTACTGCGCATGCGGAAAACAATTTTTTTTATGCCCATTAGTTTTACCTTTATTCGAGCTGCCTACATACAAAATTCATCATATAAGTATTTTCACAAAGGAATTGGATTGCGCAAATAGAAAAGTTGGGTTTTCAAAAACAATAGCGATCTTTGTTACATCCTTAAGAACATGGGGAGTAAATTTCAAAGCGATTAGACGCTTCTAAACAGAGTAATCGTGCACACGGGCAGACAGACGGACAGACAGCAATACAAAATTTTCTTTTCTAAAACAATTCGAAGATACCTCTACTGTAACTGCACGCAGTGCATCAATAATGTACAATAGAAGTTCGAATCAAGAGCTTTTTACATAACACTTTATCGCTAGCTAGAATCTACTTAAATTATACGCGGAGAGAAATTGTGGACTTGTACATTCTATCGGAGAAATGCTGGAGCTCACACTGCAAAGGAGGGTTTGTTACCTTGACTTCGTTTTACAAAAAGACGGTATTCTCATTATTTGCTTTTATAACACAAACTGTGTGAAACGTTTTTCGCGTCATGTATCCGTTTAGAGCAAAAACCTAGATGTCACATGTTCAAAAACAAGGCTTACAAAAATAACTCCAACTGTTCATTCTAAATCATTCATCACAATCATTTGGTTTTCACTTTCCTTGAACTGACTTCGTTTCACTAGAATTTTTTCTTTATCCTTATGGATCTATATGTGACAGACCACACGCTCGGGAGTTTCATCTGGCTCGCCACAGATTTGCCAAAGGGCCCTGCACTGTCTGATTCCGGCTGCTTGTTGACTAGTCAGCCAGTCTTTAATCCTGGCCCTGACAACAGAGGAAGCAATTCTTAGGGTAGATTCGGGCCCGACTACAACCCCAGTCACTGCCTTCACGAGTCAACTCGACCGCCCTTTCGTTGCCCCTTATTCCGCATTGCGCTGGCACACGTATACCTGCCCCAGG